GTGTTCCGACACACCTGGTGGTGTTCCGACACACCTGGTGGTGTTCCGACACACCTGGTGGTGTTCCGACACGCCTGGTGGTGTTCCGGCACACCTGGTGGTGTTCCGACACACACATGGTCGTGTTCCGACACACACATGGTGGTGTTCCGACACACACATGGTGGTGTTCCGACACACACACACATGGTGGTGTTCCGACACACCTGGTGGTGTTCCGACACCTGGTGGTGTTCCGGCACCTGGTGGTGTTCCGACACACCTGGTGGTGTTCCGACACACATGGTGGTGTTCCGACACACCTGGTGGTGTTCCGACACACCTGGTGGTGTTCCGGCACACCTGGTGGTGTTCCGACACACACATGGTCGTGTTCCGACACACACATGGTGGTGTTCCGACACACACATGGTGGTGTTCCGACACGCCTGGTGGTGTTCCGACACACACCTGGTGGTGTTCCGGCACACACATGGTGGTGTTCCGACACACACATGGTGGTGTTCCGACACACACATGGTGGTGTTCCGACACACACATGGTGGTGTTCCGGCACACCTGGTGGTGTTCCGACACACACATGGTGGTGTTCCGACACACCTGGTGGTGTTCCGACACACACCTGGTGGTGTTCCGACACACCTGGTGGTGTTCCGACACACCTGGTGGTGTTCCGACACACCTGGTGGTGTTCCGACACACACATGGTGGTGTTCCGACACACCTGGTGGTGTTCCGACACGCCTGGTGTTCCGTGGTGTTCCGACACACACCTGGTGGTGTTCCGGCACACACATGGTGGTGTTCCGACACACACATGGTGGTGTTCCGACACACACATGGTGGTGTTCCGACACACACATGGTGGTGTTCCGGCACACCTGGTGGTGTTCCGACACACACATGGTGGTGTTCCGACACACCTGGTGGTGTTCCGACACGTGGTGTTCCGACACACACCTGGTGGTGTTCCGACACACCTGGTGGTGTTCCGACACACCTGGTGGTGTTCCGACACACCTGGTGGTGTTCCGACACACCTGGTGGTGGTCCGGCACACATGGTGGTGTTCCGACACACATGGTGTGTTCCGACACACATGGTGGTGTTCACATGGTGGACACACATGGTGGTGTTGGTGGTGTTCCGACACACATGGTGGTGTTCCGGCACGACATGGTGGTGTTCCGACACACATGGTGGTGTTCCGACACACATGGTGGTGTGGTGTGTTCCGACACACATGGTGGTGTTCCGGCACACCTGGTGGTGTTCCGGCACACATAGTGGTGTTCCGGCACACATGGTGTTCCGGCACACATGGTGTTCCGGCACACATAGTGGTGTTCCAACACATGGTGGTGTTCCAACACATGGTGGTGTTCCGGCACACATGGTGGTGTTCCGGCACACATAGTGGTGTTCCAACACATGGTGGTGTTCCAACACATGGTGGTGTTCCAACACATGGTGGTGTTCCAACACATGGTGGTGTTCCAACACATGGTGGTGTTGGTGGTGTTCCGGCACACATAGTGGTGTTCCGACACACATGGTGGTGTTCCAACACATGGTGGTGTTCCAACACATGGTGGTGTTCCAACACATGGTGGTGTTCCGGCACACATGGTGGTGTTCCGGCACACATGGTGGTGTTCCGGCACACATGGTGGTGTTCCGGCACACATGGTGGTGTTCCGGCACACATGGTGGTGTTCCGGCACATATAGTGGTGTTCCGACACACATGGTGGTGTTCCGGCACACATGGTGGTGTTCCGGCACACATGGTGGTGTTCCGACACCCTGGTGGTGTTCCGACACCTGGTGGTGTTCCGACACACATGGTGGTGTTCCGGACACACATGTTCCGACACACCTGGTGGTGTTCCGACACGCCTGGTGGTGTTCCGACACACATGGTGGTGTTCCGACACACATAGTGGTGTTCCGGCACACATGGTGGTGTTCCAACACATGGTGGTGTTCCAACACATGGTGGTGTTCCGACACACACATGGTGGTGTTCCGACACACACATGGTGGTGTTCCGACACGCCTGGTGGTGTTCCGACACACATAGTGGTGTTCCGGCACACATGGTGGTGTTCCGGCACACATGGTGGTGTTCCGACACACATGGTGGTGTTCCGACACACATGGTGGTGTTCCGGCACACATAGTGGTGTTCCGACACACATGGTGGTGTTCCGGCACACATGGTGGTGTTCCGGCACACATGGTGGTGTTCCGACACACATGGTGGTGTTCCGGCACACATGGTGGTGTTCCGGCACACATGGTGGTGTTCCGGCACACATGGTGGTGTTCCAACACATGGTGGTGTTCCGGCACACATGGTGGTGTTCCGGCACACATGGTGGTGTTCCGGCACACATGGTGGTGTTCCGGCACACATGGTGGTGTTCCGACACGCCTGGTGGTGTTCCGGCACACCTGGTGGTGTTCCGGCACACCTGGTGGTGTTCCGGCACACCTGGTGGTGTTCCGGCACACATGGTGGTGTTCCGGCACACATGGTGGTGTTCCGGCACACATGGTGGTGTTCCGGCACACATGGTGGTGTTCCGGCACACATGGTGGTGTTCCGACACATATAGTGGTGTTCTGGCTCACCTGGTGGTGTTCCGACACACATAGTGGTGTTCCAACACATGGTGGTGTTCCGACACATATAGTAGTGTTCCGGCACACATGGTGGTGTTCCGACACACATGGTGGTGTTCCGGCACACATGGTGGTGTTCCGGCACACATGGTGGTGTTCCGGCACACATGGTGGTGTTCCGGCACACATGGTGGTGTTCCGGCACACATGGTGGTGTTCCGGCACACATGGTGATGACACGCCTGGTGGTGTTCCGGTACACACTGGTGGTGTTCCGGCACACATGGTGGTGTTCCGACACACATGGTGGTGTTCCGGCACACATGGTGGTGTTCCGGCACACATGGTGGTGTTCCGGCACACATGGTGGTGTTCCGACACACATGGTGGTGTTCCGGCACACCTGGTGGTGTTCCGACACACATGGTGGTGTTCCGACACACCTGGTGGTGTTCCGACACGCCTGGTGGTGTTCCGACACGCCTGGTGGTGTTCCGACACGCCTGGTGGTGTTCCGGCACACCTGGTGGTGTTCCGGCACACCTGGTGGTGTTCCGACACACCTGGTGGTGTTCCGGCACACATGGTGGTGTTCCGGCACACATGGTGGTGTTCCAGGATAACTGCGAGTGTTCAGAACACCTGGTGTTCAGAACACCTGGTGTTCAGAACCCCTGGTGTTCTAGTTGGTGGTCTTACTTTTTGCTTTAGTTACTTAGTGGTGGCCTAATTACTTGGTCATGTTCTAATTACTCGATGGTGCTCTGATTACTTGGTAGTGTTCTAATTATTGTTGTATTATTACTTGCCGGTGTTCTAATTACTTGCCGGTGTTCTAATTACTTGCAGGTGTTCTAATTACTTACCGGTGTTCTAATTACTTGCCGGTGTTCTAATTACTTGCCGGTGTTCTAATTACTTGCCAGTGTTCTAATTACTTGCCAGTGTTCTAATTACTTGCCGGTGTTCTAATTACCGGTGTTCTAATTACTTGCCGGTGTTCTAATTACTTGCCGGTGTTCTAATTACTTGCCGGTGTTCTAATTACTTGCCGGTGTTCTAATTACTTACCGGTGTTCTAATTACTTACCGGTGTTCTAATTACTTGCCGGTGTTCTAATTTCCTGCCGGTGTTCTAATTACTTGCCGGTGTTCTAATTACTTGCCGGTGTTCTAATTACTTACTTGCCGGTGTTCTAATTACTTGCCGGTGTTCTAATTACTTGCCGGTGTTCTAATTACTTACCGGTGTTCTAATTTCCTGCCGGTGTTCTAATTACTTCGTGTTAAATGACAGCGCTTATAATTCTTATTTAAATAATAATAATAAAAAAACCTTTGGCTTGAGAAATACACAGAATTACACGCTACAGTGCTGTAACTGATTGTTACAGAGTCTGTGAATTACACGCTACAGTGCTGTAACTGATTGTTACAGAGTCTGTGAATTACACGCTACAGTGCTGTAACTGATTGTTACAGAGTCTGTGAATTACACGCTACAGTGCTGTAACTGATTGTTACAGAGTCTGTGAATTTAATACAGCCGCTAATACACAACGCTTTATGGGCATAACTTACAAGAATTCAGTAAATTCAGTTAAATTGTTTACATGTTTGGTATAAGCACTTAATACTGAACGAGAGGTAAACATACACATCGTCCAATACATTCATACATTCATCAAGTGATATACACATTTCGAGGACTACTGAATGAAGACAAAGGCTATTATAGAATCTGTATAGTACATAGCATTTAATATTTATAATAAAAACAGAACATATATATGGAATTTTTTTTTAGATGAGGAAAATTGGTGTGAGAGTTGAGTGAGAGGTGAGAGTTGTTATAATGGTGTTAGTTAACTATCTCTCAGTCTAATAGCCTGGTTGAGGATTGTAGAGCGTTTATTTGAAGATCATTCTGCAATTTGGCACCATATTAGCGTGTACTGTATGCCTGCTGTGGTTGATTCTGGTTGTCCCATGTTCCAACAGTCCACTCTTGTACCTTCCACCAATAGTTGTTGTAATTACAACCATTCTTGGATGGTTCGTTAACTGGTGGTTGTAGGTCCACCTCCTGGTAGTACTTTGAAGGTCACATACGAACAGTGTGTTGGTAAACTAATTTTGGAACTGGTATACCAACTGGTATACCAACTCTGGTGCGGGTGTACCAACTGGTATACCAACTCTGGTGTGGGTGTACCAACTGGTATACCAACTCTGGTGTGAGTGTACCAACTGGTATACCAACTTTAGTGCAGGTGTACCAACTGGTATACGAAATCTGGTGCGGGTGTACCAACGGGGTATACCAACTCAGGTTTACCAACTGTGGTAAAGGGTGGCAGATGGGGTACTCACCTACTTTGTTTGAAGGCGGCTTGTATGGTGTAGACTCCAGGTAGTCTGAGGGAATACAACAGTATTACTCCATCACACAACAGTATTACTCCATCACACAACAGTATTACTCCATCACACAACAGTATTACTCACTCATACAACAGTATTACTCCATCACACAACAGTATTACTCCATCATACAACAGTATTACTCATTCATACAACAGTATTACTCACTCATACAACAGTATTACTCACTCATACAACAGTATTACTCCATCATACAACAGTATTACTCTACACAGTATTCTCCATCATACAACAGTATTACTCACTCATACAACAGTATTACTCCATCATACAACAGTATTACTCCATCATACAACAGTATTACTCCATCATACAACAGTATTAATCCATCATACAACAGTATTAATCCATCACACAACAGTATTACTCCATCATACAACAGTATTACTCCATCACACAACAGTATTACTCCATCATACAACAGTATTACTCCATCATACAACAGTATTACTCCATCATACAACAGTATTACTCCATCATTCAACAGTATTACTCCATCATTCAACAGTATTACTCCATCATTCAACAGTATTACTCCATCATTCAACAGTATTACTCCATCATACAACAGCATTACTCACTCAAACAACAGTATTACTCCATCATACAACAGTATTACTCACTCATACAACAGTATTACTCATCTGTACAGCAGAAATACTTAACCATACAACAGTAATGCACTCAAAAATACCCGACTTAAAAAAAAGGCTTATAAAACAGTCCTCAGTAAAACAGTCCTCAGTAAAACAGTCCTCAGTAAAACAGCCCTCAGTAAAACAGTCCTCAATAAAACAGTCCTCAGTAAAAACAGTAAAACAGTCCTCAGTAAAACAGTCCTCAGTAAAACAGTCCTCAGTAAAACAGCCCTCAGTAAAACAGCCCTCAGTAAAAAGTCCTCAGTAAAACAGTCCTCAGTAAAACAGTCCTCAGTAAAACAGCCCTCAGTAAAACAGCCCTCAGTAAAACAGTCCTCAGTAAAACAGTCCTCAGTAAAACAGCCCTCAGTAAAACAGCCCTCAGTAAAACAGTCCTCAGTAAAACAGCCCTCAGTCCTCAGTAAAACAGTCCTCAGTAAAACAGTCCTCAGTAAAACAGTCCTCAGTAAAACAGCCCTCAGTAAAACAGTCCTCAGTAAAACAGCCCTCAGTAAAACAGCCCTCAGTAAAACAGTCCTCAGTAAAACAGTCCTCAGTAAAACAGCCCTCAGTAAAACAGTCCTCAGTAAAACAGTCCTCAGTAAAACAGCCCTCAGTGAAACAGCCCTCAGTAAAACAGTCCTCAGTAAAACAGCCCTCAGTAAAACAGCCCTCAGTAAAACAGTCCTCAGTAAAACAGTCCCTCAGTCAAAAACAGTCCTCAGTAAAACAGTCCTCAATAAAACAGTCCTCAGTAAAACAGTCCTCAGTAAAACAGTCCTCAGTAAAACAGTCCTCAGTAAAACAGCCCTCAGTAAAACAGTCCTCAGTAAAACAGTCCTCAATAAAACAGTCCTCAGTAAAACAGTCCTCAGTAAAACAGTCCTCAGTAAAACAGTCCTCAGTAAAACAGTCCTCAATAAAACAGTCCTCAGTAAAACAGTCCTCAGTAAAACAGTCCTCAGTAAAACAGTCCTCAGTAAAACAGCCCTCAGTAAAACAGCCCTCAGTAAAACAGTCCTCAGTAAAACAGTCCTCAGTAAAACAGTCCTCAGTAAAACAGTCCTCAGTAAAACAGTCCTCAGTAAAACAGTCCTCAGTAAAACAGTCCTCAGTAAAACAGTCCTCAGTAAAACAGTCCTCAGTAAAACAGTCCTCAGTAAAACAGTCCTCAGTAAAACAGTCCTCAGTAAAACAGTCCTCAGTAAAACAGTCCTCAGTAAAACAGTCCTCAGTAAAACAGCCCTCAGTAAAACAGCCCTCAGTAAAACAGTCCTCAGTAAAACAGTCCTCAGTAAAACAGTCCTCAGTAAAACAGCCCTCAGTAAAACAGCCCTCAGTAAAACAGTCCTCAGTAAACACAGTAAAACAGTCCCTCAGTAAAACAGTCCTCAGTAAAACAGTCCTCAGTAAAACAGTCCTCAGTAAAACAGTCCTCAGTAAAACAGTCCTCAGTAAAACAGTCCTCAGTAAAACAGTCCTCAGTAAAACAGTCCTCAATAAAACAGTCCTCAGTAAAACAGTCCTCAGTAAAACAGTCCTCAGTAAAACAGTCCTCAGTAAAACAGTCCTCAGTAAAACAGTCCTCAGTAAAACAGTCCTCAATAAAACAGTCCTCAGTAAAACAGTCCTCAGTAAAACAGCCCTCAGTAAAACAGTCCTCAGTAAAACAGTCCTCAGTAAAACAGTTCTCAGTAAAACAGTCCTCAGTAAAACAGCCCTCAGTAAAACAGTCCTCAGTAAAACAGCCCTCAGTAAAACAGTCCTCAGTAAAACAGTCCTCAGTAAAACAGTCCTCAGTAAAACAGTTCTCAGAAAAACAGTCCTCAGTAAAACAGCCCTCAGTAAAACAGTCCTCAGTAAAACAGTCCTCAGTAAACAGCCCTCAGTAAAACAGTCCTCAGTAAAACAGTCCCTCAGTAAAACAGTCCTCAGTAAAACAGTAAAACAGTCCTCCTCAGTAAAACAGTCCTCAGTAAAACAGCCCTCAGTAAAACAGCCCTCAGTAAAACAGCCCTCAGTAAAACAGTCCTCAGTAAAACAGCCCTCAGTAAAACAGTCCTCAGTAAAACAGTAAACAGCCCTCAGTAAAACAGCCCTCAGTAAAACAGTCCTCAGTAAAACAGCCCTCAGTAAAACAGTCCTCAGTAAAACAGCCCTCAGTAAAACAGTCCTCAGTAAAACAGTCCTCAGTAAAACAGCCCTCAGTAAAACAGTCCTCAGTAAAACAGTCCTCAGCCCTCAGTAAAACAGTCCTCAGTAAAACAGCCCTCAGTAAAACAGTCCTCAGTAAAACAACCCTCAGTAAAACAGTCCTCAGTAAAACAGTCCTCAGTAAAACAGTCCTCAGTAAAACAGTCCTCAGTAAAACAGTCCTCAGTAAAACAGCCCTCAGTAAAACAGCCTCAGTAAAACAGCCCTCAGTAAAACAGTCCTCAGTAAAACAGTCCTCAGTAAAACAGTCCTCAGTAAAACAGTCCTCAGTAAAACAGCCCTCAGTAAAACAGCCCTCAGTAAAACAGCCCTCAGTAAAACAGCCCTCAGTAAAACAGCCCTCAGTAAAACAGCCCTCAGTAAAACAGCCCTCAGTAAAACAGTCCTCAGTAAAACAGTCCTTAGTGAAACAGCCCTCAGTAAAACAGTCCTCAGTAAAACAGTCCTCAGTAAAACAGCCCTCAGTGAAACAGCCCTCAGTAAAACAGTCCTCAGTAAAACAGCCCTCAATAAAACAGCCCTCAGTAAAACAGCCCTCAGTAAAACAGTCCTCAGTAAAACAGCCCTCAGTAAAACAGCCTTCAGTAAAACAGCCCTCAGTAAAACAGCCCTCAGTAAAACAGTCCTCAGTAAAACAGCCCTCAGTAAAACAGCCCTCAGTAAAACAGCCCTCAGTAAAACAGTCCTCAGTAAAACAGCCCTCAGTAAAACAGTCCTCAGTAAAACAGTCCTCAGTAAAACAGTCCTCAGTAAAACAGTCCTCAGTAAAACAGCCCTCAGTAAAACAGCCCTCAGTAAAACAGCCCTCAGTAAAACAGTCCTCAGTAAAACAGTCCTCAGTAAAACAGCCCTCAGTAAAACAGCCCTCAATAAAACAGCCCTCAGTAAAACAGTCCTCAGTAAAACAGCCTTCAGTAAAACAGCCTTCAGTAAAACAGCCCTCAGTAAAACAGTCCTCAGTAAAACAGCCTTCAGTAAAACAGCCCTCAGTAAAACAGTCCTCAGTAAAACAGCCCTCAATAAAACAGTCCTCAGTAAAACAGCCCTCAGTAAAACAGTCCTCAGTAAAACAGTCCTTAGTAAAACAGCCCTCAGTAAAACAGTCCTCAGTAAAACAGTCCTCAGTAAAACAGCCCTCAGTAAAACAGTCGTCAGTAAAGCAGTCCTCAGTAAAACAGTCCTCAGTAAAACAGCCCTCAGTAAAACAGTCCTCAGTAAAACAGTCCTCAATAAAACAGTCCTCAGTAAAACAGCCCTCAGTAAAACAGTCCTCAGTAAAACAGTCCTCAGTAAAACAGCCCTCAGTAAAACAGTCCTCAGTAAAACAGTCCTCAGTAAAACAGTCCTCAGTGAAACAGTCCTCAGTAAAACAGCCCTCAGTAAAACAGCCCTCAGTAAAACAGTCCTCAGTAAAACCCAGCAGCCCAGAACAGTTGGACAATAAGCTTCTGTCACACAAACACACAATAATCTAGCGTCTGTGCCACACAGACGCCAGAACACACAGACCTTAGAAAACACAGACCAGACGCTTAGAACACAGACGCCAGAACACACAGACCTTAGAACACAGACGCCAGAACACACAGACCTTTAGAACACACAGACCTTAGAACACAGACGCCAGAACACAGACCAGAACACACAGACCTTAGAACACAGACACCAGAACACACAGACCTTAGAACACAGACGCTAGAAACACAGACTTAGAACCAGACACCAGAACACACAGACCTTAGAACACAGACGCCAGAACACACAGACGCCAGAACACACAGACCTTAGAACACAGACGCCAGAACACACAGACCTTAGAACACAGACGCCAGAACACACAGACCTTAGAACACAGACGCCAGAACACACAGACCTTAGAACACAGACGCCAGAACACACAGACCTTAGAACACACAGACTTAGAACAGACACCAGAACACACAGACCTTAGAACACAGACACCAGAACACACAGACCTTAGAACACAGAAGCCAGAACACACAGACCTTAGAACACAGACGCCAGAACACACAGACCTTAGAACACAGACGCCAGAACACACAGACCTTAGAACACAGACGCCAGAACACACAGACCTTAGAACACAGACGCCAGAACACA